CCTCACCTGTCCCAGGTGTGTCTCACCTGCCCAGGGGTCTCACCTGCCCAGGTGTGTCCCAGGTGTGTTACCTGTCCCAGGTGTATCCCAGGTGTGTCTCACCTGCCCAGGTGTGTCCCAGGTGTCTCACCTGCCCCAGGTGTGTCTCACCTGTCCCAGGTGTATCCCAGGTGTGTGTTACCTGCCCCAGGTGTGTCCCAGGTGTGTCCCAGGTGTATCCCAGGTGTCCCTCACCTGCCCCAGGTGTATCCCAGGTGGGTGTTACCTGTCCCAGGTGTGTGTTACCTGCCCCAGGTGTGTGTTACCTGCCCCAGGTGTGTCCCAGGTGTGTCCCAGGTGTATCCCAGGTGTCCCTCACCTGCGGTGTGCATTACCTGCCCCAGGTGTGCATTACCTGCCCCAGGTGTGCATTACCTGCCCCAGGTGTGCGTTACCTGCCCAGGTGTCTCACCTGCGCGTCGGTGCCGCGGAAGCGCGCCATGAGGTCGCCGATGAAGGATTTCATGGTCAGGAAGTCGTGGGGGGCGATGCTGCCCGAGCCGTCCACCAGGAAGGCGATGTCCATGGCGGGCTGCGGACACGCTGCGGACACGTGGTCACTGGTCACTGGTCAGTGGTCAATGGTCACTGGTCACTGGTCAGTGGTCACTGGGTGGTCACTGGGTGGTCATCGGTCAGCGGCCGTACCTGGGAAGGCGGCGGGCAGGCTGCGGACCGGCCGGAGCGCGGTGTCCAGCTGGACGCAGAAGCCGTTGAGGTGGACGTTGGCCCCGCAGGCCTGGGGGGACCTGGGGCCGCACACCTGGGGGGGCAGCACCGCTTTCACCTCAGAAACGGCGATTTTGGTAAAAACCCCCCGAGGTGCCTCGGAACGAGAGTTTGGGGTTCCGCCTCCCTGAGGTCACCCAAAAAACCCCACATTTTGGGGTGAAACCTCCTGAAAAACAGATTTTTGTAGATCTACCTCCTCGATGTCCCACAAAAACCTCAATTTTTGGGGTGAAACCTCCCAAAAACGGAATTTTTGGGGTTCTGCCTGCTTGATTTTAATAAAACCCTCAATTTCGGGGTGAAACCTCCCAAAAAAGGAACTTTGGGGGTTCTACATCCTTGATTTTAACAAAAACCTCAATTTTGGGGTGAAACCTCCTGAAAAATGAACTTTTGGGGTTCCACCTCCTCAATGTCCCACAAAAACCTCGATTTTGGGGTGAAACCTCCCAAAAACGGAACTTTTGGGTTCCACCTCCTCCATGTCCCACAAAAACCTCGATTTTGGGGTGAAACCTCCCAAAAACGGAATTTTTGGGGTTCTACATCCTTGATGTTAAGAAAAACTTCAATTTTTGGGGTAAAACCCCTCAAAAAATGAACTTTTGGGTTCTACCTCCTCAATGTCCCACAAAAACCTCGATTTTGGGGTGAAACCTCCCAAAAACGGAACTTTTGGGGTTCTACCTGCTTGATTTTAACAAAAACATCAATTTTGGGGTGAAATCTCCCAAAAACTGAATTTTTGGGGTTCCACCTCCTCCATGTTAACAAAAACCTCAATTTTGGGGTGAAACCTCCCGAAAAACCAAACATTTGGGGTTCTACCACACACAAAACCTTAAAAAACGGAACTTTTGGGGTTCCACCTCCTCCATGTTAACAAAAATCTCAATTTTGGGGTGAAACCTCCCAAAAAAGGAACTTTTTGGGGTTCTACCTCCTCAATGTTAACAAAAACCTCAATTTTGGGGTGAAACCTCCCGAAAAACCAAACATTTGGGGTTCTACCACACACAAAACCTTAAATTTTGGGGCAGAACCTCCTTAAAACCCAAATTTTGGAGTTCTACCTCCCACAAAATCCCAGATTTTGGGACAAAACCCCCTAAAATCCCCGAATTTTGGGGCAAAACTTCCCGCAGAACCTCCTAAAAACCCCAAATTTTGGGACAAGACCTCCTAAAACCCGGAAGTTTGGGACAAAACCTCCTAAAATCCCCGAATTTTGAGACGAAACCTCCTAAAATCCCCAAATTTAGGGGTAGAACCTCCTAAAACCCCAAATTTTGGAGTTCTACCTCACACAAAGCCATAAATTTTGGGGAGAAACCTCCTAAAAAATCCAAATTTTGGGGCAGAACCTCCTAAAATCCCCGAATTTTGGGACAAGACCTCCTAAAACCCCAAAGTTTGGGACAAGACCTCCTAAAATCCCCAAATTTTGGAGTCCTACCTCACACAAAATCCCAAATTTTGGGGCCAAACATCCTAAAAACCCAAATTTTGGAGTTCTGCCTCACACAAACCCCCAAATTTTGGGACAAAACCTCCTAAAATCCCCGAATTTTGAGACAAGACCTCCTAAAAACCCCAATTTTGGGGGCAAAACTTCCTAAAAACCCAAATTTTGGAGTTCTGCCTCACACAAACCCCCAAATTTTGGGACAAAACCTCCTAAAAATTAAAATTTTGGGGTCAAACCTCCTAAAATCCCCAAATTTTGGGGCAAAATCTCCTAAAAACCCAAATTTTGGGGCAAAACCTCCTAAAATCCCCAAATTTTGGAGTTCTATCTCACACAAAATCCCAAATTTTGAGGAGAAACCTCCTAAAACCCCCAAATTTTGGGACAAAACCCCCTAAAATCCCCTGATTTTGGGGCCAAACCTCCTAAAACCCCAAATTTTGGAGTTCTACCTCACACAAAGCCATAAATTTTGGGGAGAAACCTCCTAAAAAATCCAAATTTTGGGGCAGAACCTCCTAAAATCCCCGAATTTTGGGACAAGACCTCCTAAAACCCCAAAGTTTGGGACAAGACCTCCTAAAATCCCCAAATTTTGGAGTCCTACCTCACACAAAATCCCAAATTTTGGGGCCAAACATCCTAAAAACCCAAATTTTGGAGTTCTACCTCACACAGAGCCACAAATTTTGGGGAGAAACATCCTAAAAAATACAAATTTCGGGACAAAACCTCCTAAAATCCCTGAATTTTGAGACGAAACTTCCTAAAATCCCCGAATTTTGGGGCAGAACCTCCTAAAAACCCCAAATTTTGGGACAAGACCTCCTAAAACCCGGAAGTTTGGGACAAAACCTCCTAAAATCCCCGAATTTTGAGACGAAACCTCCTAAAATCCCCAAATTTAGGGGTAGAACCTCCTAAAAACCCAAATTTTGGAGTTCTACCTCACACAAAATCCCACATATTGGGGAGAAACCTCCCAAAAATCAAAATTTTGGGGCAAAACCTCTTAAAACCACAAATTTCGGAGTTATATCTCACACAGAGCCACAAATTTTGGGGAGAAACATCCTAAAAAATACAAATTTTGGGACAAAACCTCCTAAAACCCCAAAGTTTGGGACGAAACCTCCTAAAATCCCCGAATTTTGGGGCAGAACCTCCTTAAAACCCAAATATTGGAGTTCTGCCTCACACAAAATCCCAGATTTTGAGGAGAAACCTCCTAAAACCCCCAAATTTTGGGACAAAACCTCCCAGAAACCCCAAATTTTGGGGCAGAACCTCCCAAACCCCCCAGTTTCGGGGTCCCCCCCAGTTTCGGGGTCCCCCCCCAGTTTGGGGTCCCCCCCGGTTCGGGGTCTCACCAGCGCCGCGTCGTCTCCGGCCGCCAGCGCCAGCCCCAGCGAGGCGTTCACGGCTCCGGGGGGGCCTGGGGGGACCCAGCCTCAGACCCCTCCCCAAATTCGGGGCTTCCCCCTTTGGGGGCTCCAGTTTGGGGAGGGGTCTCACCTGAGGGGGTCCCAATTTGGGGAGGGGTCTCACCTGAGGGGGGT